ACCACGTCGGTTGAGCGGTATGGTGACTTGAGTATTGGCGGCTGTGGCTTGATTCCACTGAAACGAATGGGGCCCGGGCTTGATTCATCTCTGCGGTCTGAGCCATAGCAGCCGTCAGATAAGCTTGTATGTCATCACGGACTGCTTGGGTTTCGGGAGTGTTGGGCAGCCGCTGCATTGTCGCCATGGCGGCAACTACGTTGGCGCTTGGGGTCTTGAAGACTTGTTTGTCCCCCACCACAGCGGCGTTGTTGAGGTCACGCGGTTGGACCCTTATGCGTCGTGCCTCCTGGTCTGCTTCAGCTTCGATTTGCCGGCGATTAAACCGGTCAATATTGCGTGCTTCAGCGTGCGATCTTTTCTTGTTCTATTGCATGGCTCATTGGCGGCTCGTCTTCTTGACAACATGGATCAAATCCCTCGCCTTGGCGGAAAAAGACGGAAATTGGGGGAAACCGGGCGTGGTCTCGGTAGATCCAGATCGATGTTGACGCCTTCATCTTCGTGACGCTTTGGCTTCGGTGTGGACGAGATCGTTGGATGCGATCTGCGGGATGAGGAGCTGGAGTCGCCCTCTCGGACCGTGTGGACGGATCCTTCTTGATAATCTTCAATCCGGACCATGTTGACGATGTTGCATGGCTTCGGGCTGAAATCGGTGTATAGGACATAGATCCGGCGGGCGTCAGTAGATTATACGCGTAGGCGGAGGCGGCGCTGTTTTGCGGGCCGTAGGGCTGGACCTAGTGGTTCTCCGTCGGGACTTCGTTACTCGGGCAGATCGGAGACTTCGTCATGAAGGTTAGGTGGCGATGAGCGAAGCGCCCCTCGAGTGAATCGACCACAAGATCTGTCCCAAAGTCGCGTGGGGCGGTCGGGTCCGAGCCTGGTCGGATAGATCTGTTGTGGGAGCCGTTACACGCTCATTAGGTTGGCTATGAATCGTGCTTACGAGCTAGGGTTTTAGCGAGTTTGATGCCGACCCGATCGATGGAGTCGAGCAGGTCGGTGTTGTCGATCTGCTTTCCTCTGTAGCGGGGAAGCGGATGACGGGTTGTCGGTGTGGTTGTGGCGTGGTCGAGCCGGATGTACCGTGGTCGGAGCGGATCCATCGTGGTCGGAGCCGTATTCGCCGTGTGGTCGGAGCCGTGTTCACCGTGGTCGAAGCCGTGGCGATCACGGTGAAGTAGTCGTCGGCCGCAGTTGAATCCACGCCTCCTCGGTGGTCATGGCGATGGAGTCATCGGGCCGGTGGTCCGTGTGATCGGCGCCGACGGTGAACGTGAGGCCGTTGGGCGTAGCCATGGAGCCGGAGATGATGACCATCTTGTTTGCTTGGAGAGCGATGCGCACCCCTACAGCGCGCGCGCTTTACCGCCGACGAAAATATGGTCGGCGGTCTACCTAAGGTATGCCCAAGGTAGTAGATTATCAGCGAGTATGTATCGTAAGCCCCAAACAAGACGGTGACGCAAGACGCGAGACCGAGGTTTTATCCAGATTCGACCGCCAAGAAGGCGTAATACCTACGTCACGTATCGATTTGTATTGCTTTGTATGTCAAATGAGAGATGTCTTTAGAGGGGTCCCCGCCTTTTATATAGTCCGGGGGCGGGGTTACAGATCTAGAAACTAATCCTAGTCGGGCCATAATTGCCATATGTGGTCGGATAAAGATTCCTATTCTAACCGACCAAGATCCCGCTTGGTCACCAAATCTGTCTTGATTCCTTGTGCGGGACTCGATCAGAGTTAATCGGGCAAGACGTCGTCTTTCGGTGGACCGAACCCATCGATCCAAGGCCAGCCCAAACTTAGCCGTAAGGGTATAGGGGTTAATACCCCCACAGCTCACAAGAAAGCAAATAATTCACGATTTATCCTTTTCTAATTTCTAAAAAAAAGTCATATCACCTCTATAGACATCCTACTACCTCTCAATCTTCTCTAAAAAAAGTCCATTTCTATCACTTTCTAATTTTTTTCTAATTTCTAATTCATCCTACCTTTTTATAATTTATAATTTCTAATTGCTTTTCAAATTTCTAATTTCTAAGTTATTTTCTAAATCATCTTTCTAATTTCTAATTTCGTTTCTAATTAACTAGAACAACAAAAATTTAAGAATTTCTTTTTAAATTTCTAATTTCGAATTAGTAATTTCTAATTGCTAATTTCTAATTTCTAATTCCTAATTTCTAATTGCTAATTTCAAATTTCTAATTGCTTTTCAAATTTCTAATTTCTAATTTCGTTTCTAATTAATTAGAACAACAAAAATTTTAGAATTACCTAGGACGGCGCGGGCGTGGCGCAAGACTGGGACGGCCGGGTGTGGCGGCGTTGTCGGGGGCGGGAAGGCGCCACCGGTGAGAAGCGCCACGGTGGAGCCGATGATGGGCGGCGCAGCGCCGGGCGGAAAGGGCGACATCGAAAGCGGGGTGGAGGCCGCCGGGCGGCAGGTCACCGTCACCGGGCCGGCAGGGCGCTGTCGGGCGCCAGCCGGGGATAGAGCGAAGCGGGGATGTCGGCGGAAGGCCAGGTGGGGCAGGTGGTCGGGTGGTCGTGGCGTGTGTCTGTGGCGTGTGTGCGTTGTGTGCATGTGTGTGTGGCGTCTTGAAGTCGCGCAGTTTAAGCTGTTATGGGGTATCTTTGAGTGCCCGCGATCCGCACTCAGCATACCCCTTTTTTTTTTTTTTTTTTATTTTTTCAAAAGGTCGACTACCTGGCAAAGGGCTAGCACTAGACTTTGCCGAGTGTTTTGTAGAAGACACTTTCGCAAAGAGTTACTAGCGAGTGTTATATAGAAACACTCGGCAAATTACGCTAATATTTCATGTATACCTTTAATAGCTGGTTTTAGTAACTTTTTTCCTGTATATTTTGAAAGAAACTTGTCAAATTCACTCAAAATGCATATTTGTTTTTCTACTAATATTATTTCATTATTTCATGCAGTTACAGCTCAAAATTAATTTATATCAACTAAAATTATATAATTGCAATTAATAAATAAAAAATGTCAAACGGATCCGAAAAATTGTCAAAATTTGACAAGAACCAATCTATGTTGTGTATTGCCTTTACAAAATTTTGAACTCAAACTCCAATTCACATGTCACTTGGACTCTAAATCTTACACCGGATTCTTCTAAGTTCTACGAATCTTCTCCGAGATGCTTCCGCTTTGTAAGCATCATACATCACAAATTGTGCGAAACATTCTCAATTTTTACCACAACCTCCACATATGATATCATGACATCTTGACAAATCTAAGTGATTTTCAGACTTCGTTTGGTTTTGTAGAATTTAAAAATCATTCAACACTGTTCGTGGTCGTGTTTCCTGATCAAAATATTCAAATTTTCTTTTTATTTCCTGCATGAGACATCAATCCGGACTCAATGACATGAATATGATTTTCCACTCATTTTATTCTATTATTTCAATCACTTGCAGTTCAAATTTCACTTAAATCAATAAATTACTCAAAATGAAATTAATTCACTAAATATAGCAAATAGACCAAGAAATAGACCAACTTTTAACATGCAGTACCAAATGTCGTATGTGGGGAGTAGAAAAATTGTGGAGGGCCGAGGAGGAAAAAATAGTTTTGGATTTGCCGAGTGTCTCCATAAACAATCGGCAAACCCATATACTTCGTCGAGTGCCGGCAGAAAACACTCGGCAAACACGTACTTCGCCAGTGTCTTTAACAGACACTCGGCGAAGTAGTAACGGCCGGCACGCCGTCCATTAGGACGGCGCACGCGCGGGTTACATGTTGGTTATTGCCGAGTGTCCCATAGAGGCCGAGTGTTGACACTCGGCAAATATTAAATATGCCGGGTATCTGATGGATGCCAAGTGTTGACACTGGCAAATCGTAAATATGCCGAGTGTCTCCGGAGGAAACACTCGGCAAAGCTGTCGCTTGCCGAGTGTCGATATAATACACTCGCAAACATAACGCTTTCGGCATTTTCACTGTTTCCCGTAGTGTCTTGCGGTTCGCAGTAGCTTTACATGCATGCGTAGCATTGCATTTTGTGTGTTGACCGGAAGTTCCCAAGCCGTCTTTGCCGCGTCAAAAAAAACCTGGAATGTTAACCCAATGTGCCTCAAAACGGAACCCCCAGCTGAAGTCGAAAGAAATATCACCTTGCAGGAACAAGGGGCAGGATCCGATCCTAAGGATGCCATGGCCTGAAGGTCTGTTCTTGGGAATATCTCTAACCATTCCACGCGGAAGCCAGGAAGTGATCGATCTTTGTCATCGTCGGGTCCTGTTGTTCATTACACCATGTAAAGCGTCGCCCATGTAGAGCCAGCGGCGCCAGTTGCAAGTTGTCAATTGTGTTCTTGAACCTATTAAGCATCCGAAAATTTACAAGCTGATTATTTTTTATCCTCAACCCTGTAGATCATATTAAAGTCCCCAAGGACTAACCACCGAGCCTCCATTTGTTGTTTGATACCAGTAATTTCTTGCAGGAAGGCAATCTTATCTGAGTCCATAAACTCGTGTTTATGCACCACGACAGGTTCTCTTCAAGCATGGTTATTTTGGCAAAGGTGGGCAAATTAAATATATATTCATGGGTTTCTTTATGTTGTTTTAAACAATTGCAAAGGTGAACAATTATTTAGAAAATAGAACAGATCCAATTGCCCCTATTAACAATCATGATTAGAATTTGCCAAGTTTTTGGCCAAATGTTTATAATTTTTGTGAGAATTTTTTGGATTTAACTATTTTTTTCTAGTGGGTTTTGTGACTTGTGAGTATGAACGGGGAGGCTCCATTAGCATCTTATAATTTGGAACGGATGTGGTATCATATCATATCCTATTGACAATGCATCTCGTTAAAGCAAAAGTTCAACCAAACATATAAAAAAAAATTGACAAATTTAGCACTAAAAAATCTGTTGACAAATAAATACAAACATCTTTAAATTTTGACATCAATGGAGAGAGATCGCACGGGCATGCTACTGAGGAGCTACCGAGGCAAGAAGCGCTGCGCGATCCATCTCATAACCATACAGTCTTCTGCAGCACGTATGATTGCTAACGCCATCGGCCAGCTTCTCCAGTGATCTCGTCGCAACGTTCAACGCGAAGACGGCACTTGTGCTGCTCGTCTCCTCCACAGTGAAGATGAGCGTGCCACTCTTCTCACCGAACCACCACGGCTTCATGGGGGTTGTCCTCGTCGCTTTGATCTGGGGTAAGTCGATGGAGATGTCCTCGTCACTTCGATCAACGGAGGTGGTGGTGCTCTTGTAGCCGACGGCGTCCTCAAGCACAGTGAGGTTGAGAAGCGAATTATGGGCACCCCTCGGCCTCCGATAATCCCTATGTCCACAAAATTCAATCTCCCATCCGTCGACACGCCCAGCACGTACTCGTCCGGCTTCCAGTTCGTTAACCTGTATCTGTATGGCACCGAGCACACGTCCATGATCGCCGCCGCCGCTGCCGCCGTGCTGCCGAGCCGCACGCCGAACGCGGCACGATTCATGGGCCAGTAGGCCACGCCGTGGAGCACGACGGCCGGGCCTAGCTGACGGAGCACGTGGCCGCTGATCTTGGCACCGGGCTTCTTGCATTCGGGACCCCAGCTGCCGGTGTCCGAGGAGAAGGACCGTAGCGCTGTGAAGCCTCGGCGACCGTAGACAATGAGTAGGCGGAAGAAACTCGGCGAGCAGAGCGGCACGTCGAGGTCATCGCCGGTGAGTATCGCGCATGCGTAGTCGTCCCCGGGGAATTCCTTGCCGGAGAGGGTTGGGACCATGGCCACGTCCCCTGTCATGGGGTTCCACACGCAAAGGGTGAGGCCGTCGGCGCGCGCCTCGCGCCGGAGCTGGAGGACGACTAGGCCGTTGCGGGACGCGACAGGGCGGGCGTCGTCGAACGAGGCGCCTCCTTCGCCCAGGAGGTGCGCGCCGCTGCCGGCGAACGGGCCCAGGAGCCGCGAGGCGAATGCCGTCGAGACGAAGCGCAGCTGCCCCGCTGTTCCCCCACTAGCGCAGCGGCGGCGGACGTCGTCGTTCTCCTGGTGCTGGAGGAAGACGCCAATCGCGAGGTGGGGAAGGAATTGACCACTACGCGGCGAGGGCACGGGAGATCGGGGCGGCGCGCGTGGCCACTACGCGGCCCCAGCGGCGGCACGTCGCGGCACAGCGCGCGGCGTCGGTGAAGCCCGAGACGCGGGAGAAGATCCCAAAGAGCACGTCGTCGGGCAGAGTGGTTGGAGATGGAGGCGCGCCGCCACTGACGTCGTCGGATTCTTCGCGTACGTTTCCTCCGACGAGGCGGGGCGGCGGCGGTATACGACAGCCAACCGTCGTGGTACGGATTTCCGGTGGGATCTGCGTGGCGGCATCACGCCGGGCACCGGAGAGATGGACGGATCAACGAATACTGTGCCGGCCGGCTAGAGAACGTATGCTTGACTCTTCGATTTATACACCATCGCAGGATTTTCGGATCGGATCTGACTCCTAGCCATAACGGATCGGGATTTGCATGCAAACTCGCTGGGTTGTTGTAAAAACCGTCTCGGACACGAGTCACACGACACGGTCAAGCAAGTGCTATTATAGAAAAAAAAATAAAAAAATTTCCTAGTATTTGGTAGAGACAGACTCTAACTATCACCATTAATAATAATCATTGGGTCTATTTTGTTTCATAAAAATTATTCACTTCTATCATTATTATAAACAATACATAAAACAACCCCCTAGTTTTGCATCTAAATTACCACTACCTACCATTATACAATATAATTCAAAATAAACCCATCAATTTGACGCCACATCGTTGACACATACAACCAGCTCCAAATATCTAGAGTTAGGTTTTCACCCGAAGAAGAGGGACAATACTAAAGTTATAGGGCGGGAGGCTACATTGATGTTGATGGTCACTAACACCCCTTTTGACCATCAATATTTCACCCAAAAGTTAAGTAATGTGAGGTAGATCATCATCACATACGTTGATTTTGCTTTATAATTCACCTAGTTCCACTTGTACTTGGAGATTTATTTGTATGCAGGAAATTTAGCAAAAATGGTGCAAAATATACACATGGGAGGCAAGTGGACGTGGCAGGGGGCCAAGGGCCCACATGGCCACATCGACCGATGCCATGTGGCGTCGCCCGGCCCCCCACGTGGCCCTGCCACGTCACTGATCCGTGGGAGAGCCTCAACAAGGCCTCTCTAGAGTTATCCAATGTCGGTTTGCTTCAAGGGCCAAGATGGAGCTGCCTTGGATCCATGGATCCACCGTCATACACTTGAGGAGCTCCACCGACTTAACCACTGATTTCCTGAGCAAATCTTCGCATGTGCTATCCAAGTAACCGTCTTTGGCAGCTAATCAAGGCCCTACGATGCAAAGGCAGTGGAATCCAACGTCGCCCGACGCCCCTCGACGTCGTTCGACGCCCAAGTCACCTCCACCGACTTACTTGATGGCCTATAAATACCCCCACTACCTCAAGACACTATAAAAGAGGCAGTGGTGCTCGGTGGAGAAGTGCCCTATCCAATTCCAAGCATTCCAAGCTTCTCCAAGCTCTCTAGTTTAGAGTAGCTATAGAGTAGTAGCTTAGGAGTGAAAGTAGAACTAGAGCAGAGCTTCTTCAGAGTCCAGAAGAGTCTTTTGGGTCTAGTATAGCTCCTTTGTAATTCTTTCATTTAGCATTTACTTTATTCAGTACTTTATTTTTAGTACTTTATTTAGTATTGTTGCTTTGCTTTGTTCAAGTACTTGTTCATTATTGTTCATCATTAGTGAGCTTAGGTGCTTGCTCTTATCATAGTATCATAGGTTACCATTTGTTTAGTAGCCATTCGTTAGTACCAGTTTCACTGTCTGGTTAGGATGCTTTGATTCCATTTCATCGGAGTTCAGATTAAAGTAGTAAATTTATAGATTAAGCGAGGTGCTTAGGCTATAAATTACCTGTGGATATGGCTAGGCCTCCAGATAGTTGGCAAGTGGTGACAGCCTTGTCCATTCTCTGTATTCCACCATGTTAGGTCTAGTTATTAAATTATAGGGCTTATGGCAGACCTTGTCTATTTAACCCTACTATTTGTAGGCGGGCTGTGCCCTGAAGGACTAAGAAATTCCTCCTATTCAATTAGTTTACCTTTGTTACTTAAGATATTGCTCGCTCTCCCACCTAGCTATCCTACCTCTAGTTTAGCTTGTTTATTAGTTCACCCATTCATTCACCCATCCATTTACAACATTACCATCCGCCTATTTCAGCTAAGGACACATATTTCCTTTAGCTTTCCTAACGATCATCTATAAATTAGCCTCCCGCCTTCCTTTGGGAAAAAATAAATTTGACACTCGGTACTCACTGAGCGAAGTGCTACACGATAGTTCTATGTGCTTGCGGAATTCCTCCACTTGACGTTAAGAAGTATCAACAATTGACGCCCCAAGGATGTAAACAATGTCGTAGGGTGTCATCGATGATCGCATAACAAGGTCGTGCGTGGCGTGGCTTCCGCCTAAGCTGCCCAACCCTTGAAATAAGGGTGTTGCCTCATGGTTCTAACCTTTCCTCAATGTGGCTCTCAAATCGACAAATAGTTTGAATAGGTACCGATGTAACGACATCTCATCTACACCACGTCACCTCTCACGCTGAATCTGCCCGATGAGCGAGTCACCACCAAGTACTTGGCTCACCGACCCCATTTGCGGTTGAAAGCCTGAAGTCCTTCTGGACGGAATCTTCGGTTGTTCTTACTTCTAGACTCAGTGTAGCGTTAATGATGAAACTTGATGATCAGATGAATTATGATGACGATCACTTAACCATACTCTCAATGTCACTTGAAACTTATTATATATTGTTATAAAATAAATTATGCATCATGAGCATATCATTTCTTAATAAACGCCATGCTTTTATGCAAATGTACAAAATGCCTATTAATCCCTTTTCATCCACCAAATATATATGTTGGAATTAAGTTCTATGAGTACACAATATACTCCACGGTTGAAAGGAACAGGCCTAAGTGGGGGTAAATTAGGCAACTCAAAACTCAACTCTAAACTATGGCCTCTTTTTCTATCCTTAGCAAAACCGTTGCAAAAGATAAACTATCTAAATGAGCAACTACGGTTTTACTAGTGTGTTGCTATCTCTACCACAAAAGGAGTTATGCAAACAATGTAAATGCGGAAGCTAAGGAGTAAGGTAGAGATATGCAAACTCCCATCGACGACTCTAATATTTTTACCGAGGTATCGAGAAGCGCGCAAGCTTCCCCCTAGTCCTCGTTGGAGACACTCGCAAGGGGCCAAGCTCGGTCGGGTAACTCCGTGGATAGCCCTCGCCTTCCCCACGCATAAGTGGGTCTCCGGTGTGCCTTCCGGCAAGCATCTCTCAGACCGCTCCACGCCGTCTTCACTATCAAGCTTCCGGCCGAACCTCAGCGGGCCTTGTTCCCTTCGGTATATGGTAGTGGCCACACCACAAACGCGGTTGGTGTGATCTCATAAGACTACAAGCCCCTCTGGTGTACAATAATGGTGCGCACAAGCACCGAGTGGTAAGAGGTGTGCAAACCTCACTAAACACTAGGCCTAAACCTAGAGCAAGCACATAAGTGGTGGTCTAATCAACCTAAGCACTTCACAAAGCACCTACGCTAATCACCTAATGAATCACTAAGCACTATGCAAGTGGAGATCACTAAAATGGTGTATCAACACCCTTGGTATGTTTCCTCAACTCTCCATATCTAAAATGGCTGGTTGGGGGGGGGTCTATTTATAATCCTCACCGAGAAAGTAGCCGTTGGGGGCGAAACCTAGCTTTACGCATCTTGACCGGATCTTTCGCCGTCGTCTGATTGGATGCGTCCGGTCATCCAGTCCCGACCGTTGAGTCGCAGCGTGTTGATCGGGACGCGACCTTTGAGTCCGTCCTTTTGATCGACGCAGCGTCCGATCACGCCGTAAATCCGCCTGGAACCTCTGTGGACTCGATCGGACACTGTAGTTCCTGCATCGAGTCGATTATCCACCAGCGTCCGGTCGGTGCTGAACGTGTTGCCGAGATGATGAGCAGTGCCATCATTGCGTCGAGTCACTTTTAGTCCTCAACGTCCGGTCGCTGCTGCTGATGCCTGCTATTGCTGAGCATCTTGATCGGATGCGTCCGGTCGCTATAAGGACCGCGTCCAGTCACCACTATGAAGCTCGTTTCTTAGCGATCTTGCGTCCGGCTTGTTCTTCCTATCTTGCTTTGGACTATGCTTGATATCTTGGGTCTTCTCTTGTGCTTCTAGGGTCTTGTTGATGGTGTTGATCGTGGGATCATCATGTCGCCTTCGTCCAAGTCACGTCTTGCACCCTATTGAACTATAAAACAATTACTTACAAATTCATTAGTCAATTTTAGTTGTTTGGTCATCAAACACCAAAATGCAAAGTAAATGGGCCTAGGGTCCATTTTCCTTACTATCTCCCCCTTTTTGGTGATTGATGACAACATGACCAAAACAAGCAAATAATCAAAATTTTGGAATTTAAAAAATATTTACTTGCTAGGATGCAATGCAAAGGGCAAGGTTATATGATGCTGAAAGATACTGTAAGGAAAATGGACCCTAGGCCCATTTACTTTGGATTTTGGTGTTTGATGACCAACACAACCAAATTGGACTAATGAACTTGCAAGTGTTTGTTTTGTAGTCCAACAGGGTGCAAGACATGACTTGACGCGAAGGCGATGGATGATTCGATGATCAACACCTAAAGAAAGAC